GCAACCACACCCAGCTGGAATCTTTTCCATTTTTTTAAATTTTATTTATTTGTGTGTGTGTGTGTGTGTGTGTGTGTGTGTGTGTGTGTGTAGCCAGCTCAGCCCACCAGGGGGCAGGGCTGGCTGGCATAAGGTGCTGGGGGATTGAACCGCGGTCCCTGTGCTTTGCTAAGCTTGTTCTAAGTAGGTGCTTTAGACCACTGAGCCATCTCACCAGCCCCAATCTTTTCCATTTTTAATGCTGGGTTCATCCCAAGGAATGTCAGCCTTCTGTGTCTACCAGTCCTGCATCCAGAAACAACCTCAGAATGAAAGTATTTGGGGTAAAATGTATCTGTGCTTATCAAAACAGTTTTCAAGAATAGCATATTCCCAGTGTTCTGTATTTTGTAGCCTACTCCTGTAATCCTAGTACTCGGGAAGGCTGAGGCAGGAGGCTCGTGGCTTTTTTGTATGATCATTTCCTACACTTGATCTTAGCCAAAAGGCCGAGAAGCGATGTACGATCATTTCCTGGAGCAATACAGTGTAACTGCTGATAAGGTGTGCTAGGTATTACAAGTCACCCAGAGATGATTGACAGCATATGCAACGATGTGTACAGGTTACATGCAAATACAATGCCATTTGATAGACAGGGCTTGAGCAGCCTCAGATTTTGATGTCTATGGAGCCCTGGAAGCAATCCTCAAAAGATACTGAGGTGGATGTAAATCCAAGTGGATGCATATACACAAATGATCTCACGTATAACTTCAACCCTGAACAAGATCTTGACAGTGGGGCTGGCGAGATAGCTCAGTGGACTAAGTGCCTCCTTAGGCATATGCAGGGATCGGGGTTCAATCCCTGGTGACCAAGACCTGTTGTGGTGGCACACGCCTATAGTTCCATGCTGGGGAGGCTGAGTCCGAGCGAGGCAGTGAGACCCTGTACCAAATACATAAAACAAAAACCAAAAAAAAGATCTTGCCAGTGATATGGATGGTACGCCTCTTGCATCCCAATTGAATGTTCTACTCACTGCTGCCTGCCTTGGTCAACACAAGGGAGACACAGAACTTACCTTTTGACCACCAGCTTCAAGGTCTTATGGGACCCTTTCACCAGGCAAATTGCTTCTTGTCTAAACCCTGAGAGGCCGATGTCATTGATGCCCACGATCTCATCTCCGGCCAGTAACTTGTCCACAGCCGCGGCTTTACTCCCTTCCTCAATCTGTAACAGAGAAGCAAGTTCCATGAGTGTCCAGCAGGAGCAAGCAATTCCTGAGTCTGCCAAGTCTCTGACGCAGGCATCTGGGAACACAACACAGCACACATGGCTCCCGGATCCTGAATCCCAGATCCCTGAGCTGGCTACGGGCTCAGCCAAGGGCCAAAGGACCTGGGGACCTGGGAAGCTTGGAGTGAACAGGGCCCCGGAGGCTGATGGCATTCCAGAGGGAGGCCATGGGTGCATCTCTGCCTTTATCACCCTCCTGTCTCCTGTTCAAGAACAGAGATGTTCTTTTCCTCACGAGGCAAGTGGAAAGCTCAAAATCCAATCAAAAATAAGGGATCCAAAGACACCAATCCATCTCCTGCATTTTTGTACCACTTTTTATTATGTGCTAATTATTTCTCATACATCAATCCTGTCTGCCTAGATTATTTTTCCCCATAATTTCATTAATTTTTTATTTTTTTCCATAATTTTATTGAGAAACAAATAGCAATGAGACAGTTTCAAACCAAATTGGTAGGTGTCTGCCTAGATTATTATTGTTAAGTTTTATGGAGATGTATTTCAGATACTTTACATTCATTCAGAGAAGCAGCTACAATTATGTAGCTTTTCGCCTAAGCACAGAATGGCACAATTCCCGCCACATTCCACTTCACATTCCCCCAGTCCCAAAAGCAACCTCATGTGTCGCGCGCACTAGCAGTCACTTTCCAGTCCTCCCAGTCCCTGGCAATCACTGATGTACTTTCTGTGTCTAGACTCCAGAGTCTGCCTATTCTGTGATGTAGAAAATTACAACATTTGGCCTTTCCCATCTGGTTTCTTTCACTTAGCATAATGCTGGTGAACACTGAAAATGTTCATGTGTGTCGTAGTACGAGTCTGCAGTTCAAAAGGCTGCATAATATTGCATGTTGCAAGTGGACCACACTGTTTACTCATGTGTGCTTTGGCAGACATTCGTGTGTTTCTACGTGTGGGCATGATGACAAGGTTCCTATGAACATTGTTACCTATGCTTCTGTGTGGACCTGCTTTCATTTCTGTTGGGTATACATCTAGTATGCAAACCTCTGTGTCCTACGGTAGATGTAACATTTTGAAAATTCATCAGTCTGTGTTGCAAAACATTTGCACCATTTTCACATTCCCACCAGAGAAGTTTCCAATTCCTCCACACCTTTGCACACAGTTAGCACAGTCCTGGGCTACAACCACGGTGTGTGTTAAGATCTTTGCTATGGCTCAAAGCTCAGCGCCGTTGGTTCTGCATGCCTTAAGTGATCCCTTGAACTCTAGATGTCAGGCTGCCGGTGTGGCTCACTCATAAGGCATTTGGCTAGCACTACAAGGCCCAGATTCCACCCCCGATATAGCAACAAAACACAATAACAACAAAACTTGCCATCTACTTTGTAACTTTTATTCTGGGAAAACTTGATTTTTCAATTCTTAGCCAGTTTTTCGTATATAGTTATAATACAACTCAGTGGCAATTAACCCCAGTTAAGGCATCTATTTTCTGTACAAAGAGTTGGCAAACTATGGTAAGTGAGCCAAATCCAGTCAGTGGCCTCCTGGTAGCTCCTGTTTTCCTAGAATATATCCACAGCCATTCATTTACTTACTGGTATAGGGCAGCGATGAGTCTTTGAACCACAAGGCCAAAAATATTTACTACTTGGGTTGTTCCAAAAAAAGGCTGGCCAGCTCCAATTTACCAGCCCCAAAAGCTTTACAGAACATAAAGAAACCCCGGTGGGAGGTGGCGGGAAGCTCCTTGTGAACCATCAGAGTTCCCCACTCCTCCACTCTATGCCAGGTTAACCTGAGGGTAACTTCTCCAAAAGCCATTGCAGATCCTCATGAGACAGCTTACAACACTGCTGATTTTTGAAGTCACCGCCAAGAACTCAACTCCTACATTAAAGAGTCAACACGACACAAAATTAAAAGATCATTCCCAAAGAAAGTATGAAATGATTCCTTTGTTCAACAACGGGCTTCAAAAGTCAAGACATGCTGGGCATGGTGGCACATGGCTACAATCCCAGCACTCAGGAAGCTCAGGATAGAAGGACCCTCAAGCTTAGTGATTTGGCAAGACCCAATGTCAAAACAAAAAAAAAAAAAAAAGAAAGAAAGAAAAGAAGAGCTGGGGATGCAACTCAGTGAAAAGGTCCTACATTCAATCTCTAGTAGAAAACAACAAAAGGGGAGGAAAAGGAGAGAGAAAGTGAAAAAGGGGAAGGGAGGGGAGAAGGGACGAGGGGAGGGGAGAGTATAGACTCAGAGGCCTCAAGTAGATGGACCAAGGGTGGCTGGCTGTCCTGATGGACCTACAGTAAAGTGACCTACAGGTGGATGGCCAGCAGCAGAAAGTAGTTAAAGCTTGGTGCTGGAGTTGAAGGAGACAAAGGCAGGCTTCCTAGGCAGAAACTAGGGTGTGGAAAAGAAACAGGTACCCAGAATGGACCCTGAGTCTGCAACACTGGTGGAAGAGGGCCTGGCTGCAGACTCTTTCTTCGCCAAGCCCAAACCTACTTAATTCATCTCAACTTGAGAAGCTAAATGCAATAAAAGTGTAGAATACACGTTTTCAAAGCCTGTCCTTTTCTAACTACCTCCCTCATGAGTGCATAAATATCCTGAAGATATTTTCAGACAGGAGCGAGCCCCCAAAACTACTGCAACCCACAGCATAGGGAGGGAAGGAGCAGGAAAGCTGGCTCCAGCTGGGACCTCCTGAGTCCCAACCGGTGTCACTCAGGTCACCAGGGAAGTCAGCAATGGCATCCAGAGCCCTGGCCAGCGATCTGGTAGCTGCTGAAGACCATGGCACGTGGGCAGAGAAGCACAAGTAAATTTTACTTTTGCCTCTAAACAACTCTGCATTCTAGGTAGAAAGCACCCAAATGCTGTTCAAGAGGTAAATGGATTAAGTGGTGGTATACCCACAAAAGAATATTGTTCAGCCATCTAGCGGGGCGCTCAATAGCACAGCACCTGCCTGGCTTGCACGAGGCCTGGGTTCCAAGCTCAGCACCCTCCGCAAGGATACTGTCATGTGCTACGACACGGTGAACGTTGACACATTAAGGGAAGTAAGCCAGAGACGCAAAGATACAGAATCGTCTGATTTATAGTACTCAGAGTAGTCAAAACCACAGACAGTAGAGGCTGTTGCCAGAGGCTGATGGAAGAGGGAATGGGCAGTGTTTAGTGGGTACAGTTTCTGTTTGGGAAGACGCCCACTCCCAAAAATGGGTCGTGGTGATGTTCGTACAATACGTGAATGTATTTAAGGTCACTGACGTGTACACTCAAAAAGGGTCAAAGCAGAACACACTCTCGTTTCTGCCGCTCAGTTTTATATATGTGCATATTTTTATATATGTGTATATTTCTCACACTAACACTACTCAGTATCTAAAACCATATACCCTCTCTCTAATAGATTTGAATTCAAGTATTTTAAGAAACTCTTCAGGCAAAACCCTGATGACTAATGACTGGTCGTATCTTGCGACAGTTTTTGAAGCGGCACTTTCTCAGGGTGGTAAATTACCTGTGTTTGACTCAGCCACCACAGAGGGTATTTCATACTTGCTCTCACCAACACTTGGATAACAAGTCCTGTGAGACTCACCCTGGCCTGCAGCCCTGGGACCCTGGCTTCACCGGGAGGAGGGACTGTGTGTTAGCTCCTCACCACAAGCCAGGATGGAGACTCTTAAGGAAGACTGCATTCCTTCCTAACAGGGTTTGCCTCCCTTAACTACACCTCCTACACTTACCAGGAAAACTGTGTTCTGCTTTGGGAGATAAGCTAGTGTTTGTTTTCCACTGGCTTTCCTGCCAACAGAAAATATCTTCGGGATATTTATGCACTCATGAGGGAGGTAGTTAGAAAAGGACAGGCTTTGAAAACGTGTATTCTACACTTTTATTGCATTTAGCTTCTCAAGTTGAGATGAATTAAGTAGGTTTGGGCTTGGCGAAGAAAGAGTCTGCAGCCAACACTGGTTCCTACAGGACAGTGACTGAGCAGCGGTATCCCTCCAGTATATTGGGCCTTACAGCATTACAAGGTGGTATTAACTGCACCATTGCTGCGTATTTGCAATGCAAATGACTGCAGACTGTTACAGCCAGGCAAGGAGCAGCTCTGTCCTACAGTAGTCGGGGAAGATCCAATGAAATGTCCTGCGATGTACAGAACGCCTGGCTGTTCTTCTGGGAAGGTGTCTTTGTAAATGGTGGGCAGGGGGGACCCCCAAACAGTGCAGGAAAGTCTGCCAATGCAGTCTTGGGCAATGGGAACAAAACGGCGAGATAAGCATGCTTCCCTGCCCCTGTGTCTCCGCAGTTCTGTGAAAGGGAAACTAGAATCTACAACACAGGACAGGGGACCACGGAAACCAAGGGCTCCCAAGGTGGTGTGGGAGAGCAGAGCAATCCCAGCCCTGGTGCCAGAGACTTTCAGCTTGAGGGAATTGGAAAATCACAGGGACCAGAGACCCAAATGGAAGGAGGAAGAACAACTTTGCCTTGTCAGTCTACTGCCCTATTTTAAGATCCATGAATCACACTGGCAAATTATCAGTTGTGAACACCTCACTTTCCAGAGAATAACCTTGTGGCATGAGCGGTCGATTGCTTGAGTCACCTCCTGTGTCTGCCCCGTGTAAGCCCCTTACTCATCCTGAGCTCAGGTCCGGAGGCTAGGAAGCCTGACCCATGCAGAGAATGCAGCAGATGGCAATGCCAAGGTTTCTCCTCAGCCTCAGTGAGATAGCCCGTGCCCTGAGGAGAGGAAACCAGCCCCCCTAGCTTGCTGGGACGGGAACAGTGGTAACTCCTACTGTGTGTCCCAGCAGGCCCAGTGGATAGGACAGCAGCTGCCAGGCACAGAAGCTTGGGTCGTCTATAGGCACCTGGTGCCACCCTAATACCCAAAAGAAGAGCCGCCATATCTAAAGGGTGTGGAG